ACACCCAAACCCACACCACACCCACACCTACACCCACACACCCACACCCACACCCACTCACACCCAAACCCACACCACACCCACACCTACACCCACACACCCACACCCACACCCACTCACACCCAAACCCACACCACACCCACACCTACACCCACACACCCACACCCACACCCACTCACACCCAAACCCACACCACACCCACACCTACACCCACACACCCACACCCACACCCACTCACACCCAAACCCACACCACACCCACACCTACACCCACACACCCACATCCGCAGCCACATCCACACCTACACCCACACACCCACACCCACATGCCCACACCCACCCATACCCACACCCACAATCACACCCAAACCCACACCACACCCACACGCACACACCCACACCCACACTCACACTCCATCCACACCCACATCCAACTCACACCCACACCCCATCGACACCCACACTCTTTACTTATCCATCGACATTTATTCACAAAGAGTTTCAAAAATCTGTTTTGACTAAACATAGGTATGCACCGAACCCGAACGTTCGGGTTCGGGTTCGGGTTCGGTTTCATAGTTCGGGTTCGGGTTCGGTCTCGAAGGTCGAGTTCGGGTTTAGTTTTCCTTGCAGTCATTTTTAGTCAGCTTGTAAAAAGAATCGGATGTCATGCATAAGCAAAAGAGTTGCCGGCTTCATACCAACCAATCTCAAATAGTAGAGTAATTGATCCAAAGTTTGAGGATCTGCAAAAATCCTAAAAGTGAACTATCTCCAGAAATACTGTATTCTGAGCCGAAGCCTGGGTAAAGTTAAGATTGATTTCATGATCTCTCATGCATCCAAAGAACTGCTTCAGCAATTATCCATATGATAGAGATGAAAGGAAATTGAACTTTCAAAATCGATGATTTGGCTCATGTTTTTACGGTAGTTTGTCATAATCTTAGAGCTAGGGGTGGGAGATTGTTGTTCCCGGATGACGATCTGGGAACAATAAAGTGAGTGTCTACCATCATCAAGCCAGTAGCTTAGGGTCTTCAAGTCCTACTATTGGGGGATACCTTTGGGTCTTCAAATCCTACTATTAGGGGTACCCTTGGGACCTGAAGTCCTACTATTGGGGGTACCCTTAGGTCCTCAAGTCCTACTATTGGGGAGTACCCTTGGGTCCTCAAGTGGCAAGAGATGGGGATGCCTTCTGGTTCTCAAGTGCTGCTATAGCGGCGTACTCTTGTGTACTGATGTGACACTCTAAGATGTATCCTTGGTTTCTGAAAGACCACTATGCGGAAGTATGCTTGGATAGCGAAGTGCTTCAGGAAGAGTCGTCTTTTAGGTGCGCGGTCCTGTAGCTATCGGCGCATTGTATACGATATTATTGAAAGTGTTGGTACATTGTTGATGACGGGATATTTGTTCGTAGGAGACCATCGATGTCGGTGGTTTTCTGATTGTTACGCGATTACTGGGCCGAATGTGTTAGTGCGATCTCTGAAAGTGATGGAACAGGTGGAAATGCAAAGCACGATAGTAAGGAAAGATGCGGTAGATATTGGTGGTTATTAAGAGTAGCGGGTCGGATTACAGGAACGCCTTAAAGGGCTATCATTTTAAAATCCGGAAGTGCTTATGAGTCATCGATACTTCGTTTACAGCTTGGGTGAAGTTTTATGGTATAAAGGAGCTGGGATTCGATAATGTGCTGCCAGATAAAATACCGGTTCTATTTAGAAGGGTATCGACGAATCGTTATTTATGTCCCAAATGGTAATTACACTGTCAAAATAGTTTTTGGTTGGAATTCATTTTTGCAGATATCTCTGAGGGCCAAGCCTGGACATGTACGTGAAGCCAAAACCTGAGGAAATAATTTACAAGGCATCAATAGTCCTAGTTTCGCACTGATTTACGAACATTACTTTCTTTTGAACTCAAACAATGGTTTTTCTACTAGAACTAATCTTTATAATTCAAAAGCAAAGTAAAATTGGCTGACAAGTGTGGCAGTTGAGATAAAAGCGATTCATCGGGCATCAAGTTTTAGGTTACAAATGGTATGATATGATCAGAAAAATAATAGCGAACCAGATGTTTGAATAAAAAATCTCGCTGGAACACGCGTACAAAACTGTAACTATTGTCCACTGTAAAAATCATTATGCGTAAGTTTCACCCAAGTAGAACACTTTTCGAATACATCTACAGAGAAGGCTTTGAATGTCCAGGACCTTCCTACAGGTCTCTACAAAAAAAAACACTCTGTATGAAATAAAACGTTTTTCAACGAATCCAAATCGGATTTCAGAGTGTTCAGGTCAAAATCTGTTTTTTGAGGCCTTCGAAGACTGCTTTGCGTCTTTCTTACGGTCTTACCCACTGCAAATAAAAAACATCAGCTTTGAAAACAGCACCTTCAACTTTATTGAACTCTAAACTTCTCCAACAAAAAGGTGATGGAAATTCTTCATCCACTCTGGAAGGTGACATGTAGTATGGAAGGTCCAGTTGAGCTATTGTCGAAAATAAACTAATGAAGAATAATCAAATGGGTCATTGTTGATCCTGAGACACAAAGTGTAGATTCGCTATCATGAAGCACTTGGTCCACGATATAACACATCTTCTACACGGCACATTCCGAATGTTACATGTTGTTTTCTCTTTTCTTTCTTTATAATTCTTCATCACGAATATGCTTAAAGCGTTCTGAAACTATATCCATCAAAAACTGATCCTATAATACTAGTATCCAGATGCAGTAAAAACCGTTAGAAAACTTTGAATGCGTTTAGAACAAAAGAAAAATATGAGGAAGTACCAAGAAGAATCAAGAACTATCAGCATAAACCAAATCGAACGATAACGTACCATCAAGTACAAAAGCACGTTTAATCCTTCTTGCTCTCAATAATAGGAAATCGTTTTCGTCAACCGAAGAAACGTAGATTCTGAGAAACTGCAGCTACTTATTGACAGCTTGTACGGTTCATTTCCAAGCACGATTACCATGCGAAACACGATTCCCTTCCTCACGCAAAATCGAAGCGACTCCCTGTTTCGTCTTTTTCATTTCTGCTTGGCTGTCAGCTGAAAGTGTTGAGCCAGAAAATCACATTCACACAGCTTAAAATCGTCAGAAGACATCACTCTCATTACTGCGATCACCATAAATAACCTCCTATGTTCGGCTCTGGAAACCAACCGTCTAACCTGAGCCGCGCTTTCAAAGCAACTGTCCTCCGGTGCTACCGGTTATGCCGCAACACTCAGCATGCGCTAGACACAATTACTCAGCACAGGCTCATGACACATATCCAGTAAAAATGTCTTGAAGAGTACCAATTGCTGAATCACTTCCACTATCCTGTCAACATACGTCCAATGGGGTGCCCTCAGACTGCCCCAACAGTTCTTTGCAGTAGTAATTGAGCAGCTAGCAGTTCCCCTTAGCATTTAGTAGAAATTGATCATCTTAGGGAATCCAATGGTACCGATTGAGTGCCCAGGGTAATGCGCAATAGTATTTCAGGACTCAAGGTATTTCACTACACTGAAAAAAAAATGGTACGATACCGAACCAAAAAAGGTACTTTGAACGAAAAGAAGGTTTCGTACATAGTATGGAACCTAAAAAGGTTTCGAATTCGTTACAATTCTCTGAACCATTTTAGGTTCGGTACAGACCACTTCGAAAAACTTGAAAAAGTGTCCTGAGTCAATGACAATCAGTTTTAGTCACCCAAAGTTTTGTACGAAACCTTTTGAGGATTTCGTATTGTCTTCCTAAATGGTTCCGTAATCATACAAATTTTTTTGCAGCGTACGGAACCATTTAGGAAGACAATACGAAACTCGCAAAAGGTTTCGTACAAGACTTTGGGTGACTAAAATTGATTGTCATTGACTCAGGACACTTTTTCAAGTTTTTCGAAGTGGTCTGTACCGAACCTAAAATGGTTCAGAGAATTGCAACGAGTTCGAAACCTTTTTAGGTTCCATACTATGTACGAAACCTTTTTTTTCGTTCAAAGTACCTTTTTTGGTTCGGTATCGTACCATTTTTTTTTCAGTGTATGGTAGGACTTCAGGAGCCACGAGTACCCTAACAATAGCGCTTGAGAACCCAAGGGTATCCTTCTATAGTAGGACTTGAGGACCAAGGGTACCCCTAATAGTAGGACTTGCGGACTCAAAAGAACCCCTCCTTCCGAATACTACGACTTGAGGAGCTGAGGTTACCCCCGACAGTAGGACTTGAGGGCTCAACGGTACCCCCGAATAATGGGACTTGAGGACTCAGGGTACTCCCGAATAATAGGAATTAAGGACCCAAGCGTACCCTCGAATAATCGGACTTGAAGACCCAAAGCTATGGTTTGGTGAAGAGAGACACATACCTGACTGTTACTCCTATTCTCGGGTAGCTGGTAACGTAACGGTAACTTTCCACTCATAGTTGGAAGTTCTTCATAAAAAAAAGTTATTTGTTATTTTTTTGTTATTTATAACAAATAACAAAAAAAGATATTGTTATTAATAACAATAACAATACATTCACACCTCTAATACAGGAATCTCAACCCGAACCTGAACCCGAACCCAGAACCCGAATCCGAACCCCGAACCGTTCGGTCTGAACTCCGAACTCCAGTTCGGGTTCGGTGCATGCCTAACTATACATATTCAACATCGTTTTTATCTATTATCCATAATGAAAAAAATTCCTTATCATGCATCGTAAATTGTTGGATCAGCCAACATGTAGTCAATCACAAATGGCGATGAGTGCAGCAACAGCTGACATTGATCAGAACTAGACAGATGAGACGAGCAACGAATCAACAAAAACAAAAAACTGAACAAAGCAAGTCAAAACAGAAATATAGTGATGCATTGATTGTTCATTATACACACGAAAACCGTTTTGATATGTTCAACAGAGATACGCATCACCTTTACGAAGACACTTTCAGAAATTTGCCAGTTAGTGGCGTTAAAATGATAGTCGGCAATCGAAATTGTCGACATGCAAGACCTGAACTTATTCGTAAACGACGACAACAATCCCTATTACGAAATAAACAGAAAAGTAAATATTGAAAAACAAACCTAAACCGTATTCTTCTAGATTGTAAATTTTTATCCATTCCCTTTATCATCTATTAGAACGTAAAAACCCAACAAACCATTCATCAAAAGAAATGCTTTTCAATAAACCGAAACCTAATACGTGAACATTGGCTTATGCCTATATCTTTCCAACTTAATTCAACTAGCACTACATCTATGAACATTAAAACTTCTGTTAAATTTCAATTGAATTTTTGTGCTTTTTTCATTTCTGCTTCCATCTAATAAAACAAACATTCACTCTTCCGACTAACGAAAACAAAAAACAATGTTTCTGTCAAACGCATTATATTGTCCACCACTACAATATAAAGATTGTTGTGATTCTTAATTAACATTAAGTAATCATATAGAATGACTTGCCATCTCAATAGATCCTTAAGCAAGATCGAAATGCGTCGTGGTAGTTACAAGTCACATCAGTGTGAACTGCATTTATCATTATGTATAGGCTCTGAAAATTAGTTTTTGTACATAATAGAATAAATAAAAGTCTTGTGATTCATTCCGTTTGAATCATATAGATTTAATTGCCATCTGATAAGACTTATAGCGGGGTTGAAACGTGTCATGGCTGCTAGCCACACCCATATCCTCGCTCTACACTCGATATTAATTCAATGATTCTCTCAGACTTTTTTCTTTCAATGCCATAAACGATAGGAGCGAGACAGACAGTCAAAAGCACATAATTGTGTTTATTTTACATTCGTTATTGGCAAACAAAAATGATTTTATATCCTCGCAGGGATGATTTGCTGCACTTCTTGCGTCATTCTCAAAGACGTAGAATCGATGGGTATTTTATTGAAGTGAGAGGGATAACAATCCTATTTGCAAAAATTAATTGAAAGGGTGCCAACCCTTTTTACACAACTGAGATGAAAGAAAAAAGTATTCATATACTATATAAGGTGCTGTTTAAATCACTTTTAATGCTCACAATTTTTTAGTTCGTCTGCATCACTGTTGGTTTAAATACACACTTTTGAACGGCACCTTTCATTGATCAAAGCAAGTAATTTAATTCATTTATTCACTTCTCTCATAGTTTCATTTCGAGCTCAGATATAAACCATGAAGAAAGGACCTAATCCTGATGATGATGGCAATCCACAAAATGAGTGTGAACGTTGTGGCGACGAGTACGATCCTAATACTGGCGGCCAGAGTATCAATGGGGATGACATTTGTGACAATTGCTGCGAATCTGAAGCTAATCAAGGCTGAACGCTGGCATGTTTCTTTTTAATCAAGATTGAATAAATTTCTGATTGTATGCGTGTGAATAAAATTGCAGTTTTTTCTGTCGTATTCAACTTATTTTCATCATTCAGAAAATGTGACGAGATATTTGCTAAGATTATAGAGTTCACCTTTAGTCTTAAAAGAAGATTAAACGGTCTTTTCTAGTAGAATACTAGAATATCTGCTTCGATAGCACAAACTGTGTGATTTGCATTCCGCGAGGATTATCATCTTTTCTCGATGTTTTATAACCAAATCGACTCGCTTCTGGTCTAGCGCGCAATATGGGAATCTTTAGAAGGACGGTTATAACGATTGATCGAATGTGGTTGTGAGTGTAGGGTGTGTGTGCTTGTAGATTTCGAGAAGATCCACACCATTATTATTAATTGTTGGTATGTCAAATAGCGTATGACAATATGAGTGTGTTGAGCAACCATAATGTTGACACTTCACCTGTGCAACCAGGATCATCAGATGGTACTCGTTTCAATTCTTACAGAATCAAAACAAAGTTAATTCTAATCTGCTAGGGTGTGGATGTGGGTGTGTTTCAACGACAGATAATTAGAAACTAAGCAATCATACGATGCATTTCGAACGGGGCTTATATCCGTTCATCATCAGGCATGTTCGGTTCTATTACTACATCTCAATCAAAAATATTCAAATTATAAATGTCTATAAAATTTCGAAGAGTGGATGAGATATAAGATTGATAATAATTATGTTATAGTTTCTAGTATGTTGTGGTTCTATGTAGCGGTAATACATCATGCATTGTACAATGATTTTGTGGGTGATGATTGATATCGCTTGCACATATAAGAGACCATGTTTGTCCCTGTTTGTAATAGTTTTGGGTGTGGGGTGTAGGCGTGGGTGTGGGTGTGGGTACAGATTGTCTTTCTTTAAACAACACTCAGCACCCACACCCACACCCACACCCACACCCACACTCACACCCACACCCACAACCACAACCACACCCACACCCTCAAGGTTCCCTCGTAAGTTTTATAGAACATGGCGAACATTTAATTAAAGTGTACTAAGATATCAAAATTGTTTTCTTTCACATTATTTACTTATATGATTCAATTCCGATTGAATTTCAAGCGATTCAAAACATTGAAAATTGATCAGAATTAATACTTCTGTATTTACAGGAAAAAATTTTGACGCCCATTCTATAAGATCTTAGTATGGACCTATATGAAAAAAACTCGAAATTTTTAACCGAACTTATTTTCTTCAATATTTTCTGTCTTACACATATAGGCTCTCTTTTGTATTTATGCCCCGTCATGAAGAGTACAGTCACCGATCACACACAAGTACAATTAATTTGAGCAGCAACAACATTTTTACTTCTCTTTCATATGTGTTAGCTCTTTCTGTTCGTGTGCTATCAAAAACTAAACAAATTTTGATATTGGTTTGAATCTGTTTCTAATTTCCACTTCTTTGTCACCTGTATGCAGTTAACAAGATATCACAGTGGAATACTTTTGCAGTTACCCCTATTTTTTTTGTTCTGGTTTCCAAAATATTCTCTTTTTGAGGTCGGTAAAATAGGAATTGCACAACCATAATTGCCAACAAGTACAAGTCCACCTCATATTTAAGCTTGTCCAGTCAGTATGGAGTGCAAATCAACGAAACACTAAATCGATTTCCGACCGTTGCATCAATGTTCTTGACATTTTAGAAGCCAAAATTATGCTCCTCGGTTTTGTCTCTTTTTATACAAACTGCCGGTGGGCAGCCAGGCAAAGAAATTATTGACATACTAACAAAAGCCTTGCTCATTTTGCTCATCATTTTTTTCCGACACAAGAGAAATTTGCCCATTAGTCAAAAAATCCTGGTTACGTCACTGTGTATGTATTCAATCTCTCTTTATCTGAAATTTGATATGATATTCTTTTCTTTCAGAGCTTCCACTGGAGGAAGATTTAAAATGTAAACAACGTTCTGATAGAAATAAACAAGCTGCTGCTAAATATCGTCGAAAGCAAAATGATCTTCGTGAAGAATTAGAAAAATCTTGTTTTTGTTTTATTATCTATCATTTATTTTCTATTTATTCATTTCTTCTAAATATGCTGACCAAATGTTATTAAAAAAACAAACATCTCTCGAAAATTCAGTTCAAACACTAACTGATCAAAAACAATCAATTAGAGATTTTTTGTATCGTCATATATGTGAAAAAACCGCCTTTACCAATTTCAACAACGACTTTATTAGATTCAAATAATAATAATGATAATAATAAATGTGTTATTATTAATTTTATAAGTACACAAGATTTACTTGTTGTTGCACCATTAACACGAAAAACAACAAGTGATGCTTCATCATCATCATCATCTGTAACTATGATAAGAATTCATATTATTCCAGAAGTAGCGCAAGGCATTACTTAGTTCAACATCAGTTGATAAAGCAAAATTAGCTGAATTACTTCAACAAGTTAGTGTGAATAATTCATGTTCAATAACAACAATATTAGATTCAATGAGCACAAATACCTCTACGAATAGTACAAGTCAATTTTTTCATATATAAATATATGAGTGATTTGCACTGACATTGTATTGTTTGAAGCAAAAAAATAGAAAAAAATAAAAGTTAATATGAAGAAAATTTGAATCACACATTCGATAGAACTCTATCCATGACATATGTATCAAGTATTTTCCCAAGTGTCAATTTCTTCTTTTTAGGAAAAAACTGAATTTTCCTCAAAAAGACTGAGTATTGTAAAGTTTCTTGGCAGAATAGAATTTCTACAGTACGATTTTTATACTGCTATCGGAAGTAAATGACAGGAAGAGATACCCCTTTGTCATCTAACGTATTAAGATATCTCAATAAATATGTGAAAACGATGAATAACGGCATTTTGATACAGAAAAATCTGTTTGGACAATTTTTGAATAAAATATTGTTTTCTCATGAACCATACTTGCTTAAGAACTGAAATTTCTATCATAGATTGACTTGTTGGTCAGGTTAAAACGATAAAAAAATGATCGACTCATCTCTTATAGTTACCGAGAAATCAAAGAAAATATATCAGAAATCGATCGAGACATTTAGTAAAAAAGCAGCTCCTTTTCCTTTTATTTTTGGTTTCTATTTGATCCTGAAAGTCATTAGAGAAAAGTTTTTTTATCGAAAGATTTCTCGCTCTTCAGTCTACAAACATAAACAAAGAAATCTGCGTTCGATTTCAAACGGCCTTCAGTAGATTGAATTTAATTTGTTGGCACATAAAATGATCAAAGTGTATGTCAAAGTAATTTTTACAAGATTTTAAGGGTAAGTCGAAACCCAAGCTACGATCTTTTTATATGGTGACAAAGTGGAAAGTCTCAGCTGCGAAATAACTGCCAAAGATTATTTATCCAAATGAAAATTTTGGGACAGGTACGTGATCTTTTTGATTAGATGACGCTAGAAACCACTGGTATTGAGCTATCTTGTTCAATGCTCGGAAAGAACGGGAGGGAGAGAAAGGCTCGAAATTTTTTCTGTGAGTAGGATACTAATCAGTGACTATGTAGAAAAAAAAATTGTTCAAACTTATTCATTAAAAGATGAGTTATAAATATCTTTATTTTCGAAATGCAAACAGTACAGTGCCAGCACAAATCACTCATATGCATATACATATATAGCTTTGTTATGTTCATTCAATTTGGAATAAAACAAATACTATGTATTTAGAATGTCATCGATATGCTTGCCAGTAAATATTTTCTTCCAAGTTAAACACACTATTTTTTTTGTATGAAGTTCAATGATTATTCTTTTTTTCTTTTGCTGCAAAGAAGGATGTTTGTCTTCTCTGTATCTCGCCCTGATTGTTTTCCTTCTTCGCTTATTTATTTATTGTATGTGTGTGCGTGTATGTATTCGTTCTATGCATGTTTTCGCACTTGATTAGCACTGAAGAAAAAATTTGTTTCAAAGAAAAAAACATAATATGTTCTTTGTTATACAAGATAGAACACAAACAATCTAAAACGACAAGTGATGAATACAGATGCTTTTATTTTTTGCTTGTGAAACAATCTCTTTTTTTTTGCTGTTCAATGAATATGGCAACAGCAAAGAACAATGCAACTAATAAGTGAGCTTATTAATAAGGAATAGAAAGGATTGTTTAATGATTTTGAATAATTTCCAATGACCAGTATTCAGTGATTTATATTAGTAGTCCTATCAAATGACATTTAGCTGTAAACTTCTTCCACTGAATCTCAATGAACTCGCATGAATGTTAAAACTTCGAGAATTTCCAATCAAATATTAAGTTTTGGACAAAGATGAAATATGTTTTTTTTTTCTTATAATATTTAGTAATCCTGTCTCACCATCTGATAATGTTCAATTTGGTCGTAATACAATGTCTTATCTTTGATCATCATTTTTTCGAAGTTTTATTCGAGCTTTGATAAATACATCAATTTTTTATTTGATAAAATCGATCTATTTTATTTCTCTGCTAATTGATATTCAACAAGAAAAATTTTTCAATTTAATTAATCAAATTGTTATTAACAGAGCAAGTATATTTGCTACTGATGCTGATAAACAACATACAACTGATGACATTTGAACAACAAATTCTTATTGTACAAATCTCTTTATTTCATATGACTAGTTCCTTCTTATTTTTTTTTCTTGTATTTAAATTTCGATGTTTATATAATTTCATTACTTGTTTGGATAGTATCATCCAAAAAATTCATTTCAATACAAGAAAATACAATTGCTGTATTTACTAATCTCTATAGTGAATTATCACTTCATTGGTCAGCTCTTTTGTTTCGAATATTTACTAATAAACTAATTGATACATTAAATGGTTTGTTTTTCATAATTTTTCTTAATTGTTTCCAATAATAATAAAAAAAAACATACAATAGATACAATCAAATGTGATGTTGAATTTACCGAAGACGAAATTTATCAAGCAAAACGTCTTCATCGTTTTCTTGTACGTAAACAAATTGGTTCATCATTTTTTCCAATAATATAATAATTGAACGATGTGTTATTGAATTCAATTATTGTGATGATATTAGTAGTTTTCAAATAAATTTAATGTAAAATGAAAATTTATATTAATAATTTTATTTCTTTTTCTTAAAGTTCGGTACTTAAACATATTGCTAGGACATTATTGACATCACTTGATCGTCAAACAATTTCGATTTTAATTGGAACATTATATGAATTAATTCGCCCTGCTGATATACATGTCAAATCGGTTAGTTAATCAAAAATTCTTTCTTTAATTGAAAACAAATGGCTTTGGGTGGGTGCATGTGCGTCGGGTCAATTTGGGTGTGAACGTGTGGGTTGCCGATGTCGGTCTTCTTTTCACCCACACCCCCACCTTGGTGGATATGATTTCAATATTCCATCTGAATTTATATCGAGATCGATATGAATGTATGCAGCAATGGAATGCATATATATGACATCATAACAATGATAGAAAGAAGAGATAAAGTACAAATGACGTTACCATCTAGCAATCTGGTTCGAAAATGCGAAGATAGTAGAGCGAACGTATTATAATACTATACGCAAGCACATAGATGAGCAAGAAATGAAGAACATGCATAAGTTAAAATACAAGAAGCGATTCTTTTCTTTATTTCTTAAATCTTCACAGAAAGAACAATTAAAGAGTGTATATGGGATTCAAACGGAAAAATAAACACAGTTACTATCTAACTCAAAAAAAAATCAACGATTCTAAACAAGTAAAATTTCAATCGGTAAAAACTTTCTAATAAAAATTACAATGGACACATCTCCAAATGAAATGAGCAATTGTCCATGTGCCCCTCTTTTCTTTACGCCACTGCTTGCAGTTGCAAGGGCATAAACGAGACAGCTCCTTTTGCAACGACAAACAAAGACAAGGTTTACTCTTAATAATGGTACAGTGCTGATTATTGTCATATAACGCAATGCTATCATGGGTAATGGCGATAGCATAACTATTCGCAACAGCACACTTCGTTATAATGGAAACCCAATCATCAATATTTGATTCGCAATAACCGCGCACAAGAGCTTCCACATTGATACCTTTCAACTGATACGCTGGAAGACGATCTAGTTCCTGACTTAAATTCTTTACCACACTTGACTTTAACTCTGACAAACGTGAATATAAAGTCATAATTTCCGATACGATATTGAGATTGTTCTCGTATACATTTAGTATAACTAATGTGCTTATCACCTCATTTGTTGCTGCATATTTGCTCATATCTTGGAGTGCAATGCATGTCCTGTACTTGGTATTGTAGTCCGAATCACGCAATGTACTCACCAGTGCATTGATCACCTGATCCGTTGCTGCTTTTTCGCCTAATCCGCCGAGAGCATCGCAAGCGCTGCTTTTGACATTGGGATTTGGGTCACTCAGTGTATCCATGAGTGCTTCGATAACATCATCGGTCGCTGCTTTTTCGCCCATCCCACCGAGAGCATGGCATGCACTGCTTTTGACATTGGAATCCGAGTCATCCAATGTATCCATGAGTGCTTCGATCACATCATCGGTCGCTGCTTTTTCGCCCATTCCACCGAGAGCATGACATGCACTGATTTTGACACTAGGATCCGAGTCATTCAGTGTATCCATGAGTGCTTCGATCACCTCAGCGGTGGCTGCTTTTTCGCCCATCTCACCGAGAGCCTGGCATGCACTGCTTTTGACATTAGGATCCGAGTCACGCAGTGCATCCATGAGTGCTTTGATCACCTCAGCTGTCGCTACTGTTTCGCCCATGTTGCCAAGAGCATCACAGACAGTGCCCCTGATGTACCCCTCCGAATGATGCAATGTATCCATGAGTGCTTCGATCACCTCAGTGGTCGCTGCTTTTTTACCCATCTCGCCGAGAGCATCGCATGCACTGCTTTTGACATTGGGATCTGAGTCATGCAGTGTATTCATGAGTGCTCTGATTACCTCAACAGTTGCTGCTTTTTCGCCTATTCCGCTCAGAGCATGGCATGCACTGCTTTTGACATTAGGATTCGAGTCACGCAGTGCATTTATGAGTGCTTTGATCACCTCAGCTGTCGCTGCTTTTTCGCCCATTCCAACGAGAGCATGGCATGCACTGCTTTTGACATTGGGATTTGAGTCACGCAGTATATCCATGAGTGCTTTGATCACATCAGCGGTCGCTGCTTTTTCGCCCATCTCACCGAGAGCCTGACATGCACTGCTTTTGACGTTAGGATCCGAGTCATGCAGTATATCCACCAATGTTTTGATCACCTCATTCATCGCTACTTTTCCGCCCATCTTGCCGAGAACATTACATGCACTGCACTTGACATTGGAGTCCGAGTGTCGCAGTGTATCCAGCAGTGCTTCGATCAC